GTTCTCTCTACACTTGTACTTGAAAATACATAATCCTGGGAGTTTTCAGAACGATGGGTATTACATCGACGAGAACATGACGATGGATGAAGTTGTGGTGAGTACTTTGCTCCTAATGCACTCGCGTTCGCCATTAGGTCACAAATGCGTAATTGAGTGTTGAAGACGTCGGTGACACTTCTGGCATTCAATCGTTCAATCTTTTAGGTGAACGAAGGTGGCTTCTTTCTACTTAGCCCTAAACGTGGGGAGAAGAAAAGCTTTCCTCAAAATAAGGTTTGTTTATTTCTCACGTTTTTTTTGTGATTAGTAATTAATTATCCATGTTCAGATCAGCATCAAGACGTACTACAACGATAAGACATTCAGTGGAGATGGTGTTTTGACAACATCAAGCTCGTGCATATCGAATCCATCAGAGTTACAGGTAGTACAGCTGTTTCCCTATTGTCTTGGGACCTGTATGTGTTGACATAACTGATAAAACAATAATGAATAAGCAGTAGGCATACAACAATATTTGATTTGTTCAGTAAATGAACTAAGCATCGGACTCTAACATACAAGCTCAGTGCCTTCGCTCTTCCTATCTGTGCTATAGCACTTTCTAGAATTCCGATGGAGCAAATTCTGCGACTCTTATCATTTTGCTAACCATTGCCATTCTAATGATTTCCTGCTCCGTAGTACTTCTTGGTTCTACCTCATTTCTTCGGCCAGCTGCAAAATGCTCACAGTGTAGCTTTCTTAGTCTTTATTCATGTTCTTCTGCAAAATGCTTATGATATCAATGATGTCATATATCTTCCTGCTCTAGAGATGTATGCATGAAGTTTTGGAGGTCGCAAAAAAACAAAAGTCAGCTGTATTTATCAATTGGTTCTTCGTTTCGATTCACTTTTTCCGCAGCTTTTCGTATGTCGTCTTTATTTTTGAACTTCTTTCCTTTTGTTTTTCCACATTTTTCAGCAACATTGACTACGTGAGCATATTCTCATGGGCTTGCACGGACACATTTATATAATGTTCGTATTTATGTGTGCATGTTCGCCTAATCTCATTCCTCCAGATTTTTGCAAACAACAAATCCTTCCTTATGAATCTGACTGAAAGCCGTCGTAAAAGTTCGACTTATTCCGTAAGTAATATTCACGTTTTATTTGTTTGGTCAGCTTCCGTTCTCTACATTTTCATTGCTAACGTCAAGTCTAACAGATTGTGCGTTCTCTCCTAGTCTCGAAACCCTTGCTCCAATTTTCATGAATAATTTTCGT